ATTCCCCCATTGGGGGGGAGATGGGCAGCTGAAAAAATAAATAAATAAATAAATAAATAAATAAAGTCAAGCTTTCATAATTTATGAAACCATAACTATTTCCCATTGCAGAAAATGGTATCTGTGCATTTCTACAAACTACACTAGAAGACTTGTGACTTCTTATAATGAGAGTGAAACTGCCACGCTGATATGGTATGGCTAGGATGGTTTTGGTAAGTAGCCAAATCTTTGTTCATCACAAGTTTTTAAGTTTGGTATACAGAAGGATGGATTGGATTCCTGAAGTCACCTAGACTTTCACAATGGCTTGAAGTGGCAAGAAGCTCCAAGCATCTTCTCTAGAAGGTTGAGGATTTTACTTTTCCTTCAGCACTTGCTAAATTCAAAATATCCCCTTTCAAATACAGCCACCTTGGTTGAAGTCACACTGCATTCCACACACTACACTGTGGCTTATTGAATAATCCATAGTTTAAAAACATGACTTAATGGAATATGCAAACACATCTATTAAATTAGATGCATAACACCGTACTTACCTAACATAGCAGAAATGTTCTACATTCTGGATGGTTTGATCCCCCTCGTTAAGAGGAATCCCTTCCTCATTTTCAAGAATTAGTTCTTGCCAAGCTGTGTTTTCCTCACATGGATCAGCCTTTTCCTTGTAAGAATAACCACAAAGAAAATGAAGTTTGCATTAGAAAAGATAGGAAAAAAATAAATAGCACAGTTACATTCTGGTTCCATTGCATATAAGATCAAGCTGTTAGATGCTTATCAAGTTGCAAGATGCTTATTTAAGGCAAGTTGTTCATTTTTGACATCTGAAAAGTACAGCATACAGAATACAGACAGCACATACACCCACAAATAGTTCTGACTGGCTCATAATGATTCCTACAACATGGGAAGACAATCATTATAATAGATGAGGACTGCATTTTTTTTTAAAGAACCATTTTTTAAAAAAAGTTAAAGGATGTGTGCGACACAATGGTATTGCTGGAATTTCCAGTCATTTCTCCCCTTTTGGAATTAAAAAAACAAAAACCTAATAACAGTAGGCTTCACATTTCTTCATATTATTTCGCTAAAAAAATTACTAAAGAAAATAGCCCAACTGTTATTCACTGGTTTGCAGTGTGATCTTGGAAGAGCTCTGGAGATGTGCAGAAAGAGCTTCGTCTTGCCTATGACCCATGGATTGACAAGTCTATCTTTACAAGTTGCTTTCACGGGGGGAATTGATCAACAGGGCCCTCTTTTGTACAAATTTAAGCAGAAACATTAAAATAATTTTAAATTAGGAGGTGGGAACAGAACACGTCTCCTTATCTACCTATGTTAGAATTCTCAAGGCTTGTTGCTTCTGTGATCCTAAAAGGGAAAATAGGCCTGGAAGATTTATATTAAAATTAAAACTAATGCTTCAACAAGAATAATATATATTTGAGGTAAAACAATAATGCCACTCCTTACCTGGTTTTCTTTTATCCAGGACAATAACCCCGAGAAACTAAAACTTGCCCAATTTCCTCCATAGTAATTTCTCCTGTGGTAGCAGTGGGGAGAAGAAAAGAAGAAGAAAATTAAAAGCTCAGCAATTTTTTGTAAGGATTCTGCTATTATCTACAGTTATGGAGAAAGTTGTTGCAGCAAAGAGACTTTCACGTGCCTATGTGAGCTGAAGAGAGTAACAAGTATACAAACCAGTTCCAACGAGCAAAATCCTTCTTCTCTTTTGCAGATACCATTTAAAAATAGAACATAATTTCTTGTCGGCAGGCACTGTATTTACCAATAAAGTTTTGATTAGGAGCGTAAGGCTCTTTACAGCACCCAAAAAGTCGTGTTCGTTATCCAGATTGCTTAGTCAGCATGGTAGGAGACCATTCTCCAAGTGGCTGGTTCCCATATTATGATAAATTAAACCAAAGCATCTTGATTAAATCAAAACTGTCTAAGTTCACACACTGACTGGGCTCACATCACTCCTACTATGCCTAAACCAAACTTATATGCAATGTGGGAACTCATATTTTTGTTCCGAAGATAGAAAGATTAAAATCGTATCGAGTAAATGAATAAACTTGATGCATTAAAAAAAAAAGATCAAAATGTTTTGCTTTCCCCAAACTGCAGGTCCTTGTGACACTCCACTGTGATAGATTCTGCGTGTACAGATTATAGGTCTTCAAATCTGAACACAGGAATCTGTAGTTGTTTCTAATGCTTCTTTGTTAAATTTCACAATTAAAATCCATATTAAAAAAGATAAATATGAGAGAGAGAAAAAAAGAACTGCACCTTAAAAAAATGAAAAAGGACTGTATAGCATTACTGTAACTAGTTCAGGCCTAATACGTTAATTACTAAATCCAGACCATATAGAACTTACTGTTCTATCTTCTCATTCCTACAATCAAAAACTGACAAAGAATACATCTCTTAAATCTATCCTTCGATATTTTGAGTGTTGTTTTCTTTCCACCTATGAAGATAATTATCTCTGGCAAACCCCGTGCTCAAAATGTTATGAATTTTTTATGGTGGTTTTTATATGCTTTTATATTTTTTTCTGGTTTTTAAATTGTTGCATTATTCTTTCTTGCTTTTTTTTTAATATTTGTTTTAATTGTTTGTAATCCACCCAGAGTTATATATATGAGATGGGCAGCTATAGAAATGTGAATAATAAATAAATAAATATTGCTAGAATTCTTCTTAAAATATCCAAGTATCAATTATTGGACTGTAATTGAACCTCACATTTATGTCTTTACTGCGTTTTCCCTCAAAGTTATATTGACATCTGTCATGACTCGAAACCATAAAAAAGAACACAACCCAATCATGAGTCAAAGAGCCTTCACATTTTTTACAATGCCAACCCACACACACACACAAAGATATCCACCTTTTTAAAAGCTTTCTTTTGGGGAATCCAATAAATACAAAACAAAATGTTCTGATAAATTCCCTAAACAATAAGAACTGTATTTAAGAATTCTTAAAACTTGGAGCCATCCATTTTCCAAAGCTGGATATTCCAATTCTTGATTCCATAGATCATATATATTGGGTTGATAGCTTCTGGTATCATCTTGGTATATTCCAAAGCTCATCAAGGCTCAGATTGGTCATACTAATCACAGTTCAGCAATAGATCTCAACTAAGCCTCTGGTCTTCGAGCAAAAGGAGACCTTCATAAATGTCAGGATTTTAGAAAGTGGCATTGATAGAAATGTAAGAGCAGAATTTGCAGAGGGAAAGCCTAGCTTTTTGTGAATGTCAGTTAGGAAAGCTGCCTCTTTCAATACAGTAATCGCCCTGGGGGGGAAAATGAATCAAAGGCAATGTCTGGGAGGAAGCTGCTGATGTCTGGTGATTTCTCCAGAGACCTGCTTCCATGTGTCTTTCTCTATTTGATCTCTTTCTGGAGGGAGAAGGAGGGGGGAAGAACAGGAGGTCCTGCTGTCATCAGAATGAGTTCTCCCTTACTAGCAAACCTTCTCCTACATCCATGTTAAAAGCAAGAATGTACAAAGTAATCTGTATCAATTCCTAGAAGTTCCAACTAATCACACTGATGAAGCTGTTGTTACTGCGTTAGTTTTGCCCCCCCCCCCCACCTCATCCCAAAGGTGTGAAGATCAGGCACTTGCTTTGCACACCTCAAATGATTTTTTCCCCTTCTTTTTTCGCTTTCAGAAATGGAAAATTTGCCAACCGTATCAGGTTTTAATTTGAAAATCACAATTACTAATGCTTAGTTACCACACTGTCACTAGATCCACTAAGGACAGGCTGCCTGAAACTGGTGACATTCAAATGTGCTGGTCAATGTTTGCTGCTTCCAATGAAGGAGGAACAATGCAATTCATTCATCCAATGTAACTACTTGGATTCAGGACCCTTCGCTCTTCTTATTACAAGTATCAGTGAATGACTTTCCCCACTAGTCTAACTGCTGGCCCACAAGCTGCAGTGACAAGAGTTAGCAGAATACAGGCAGTCCCTGGGTTAAGAACGTCTGACCTATGGACAACTCATACTTATGAACGGGCTGCCTGTTACTAAAAATGGCGGACTCAAGCCAACTAACCCCTGAAGCCGTGTGATGTTTTCATGAACCACTGAAACCACATGTTTTCAATATACAGCCCGTTTTCAGCGGTTCATGAAAACTATGTGCGGCTTCAGCGGTTCATCAGCTGGAGAAAAGAGAACACTATCCACCATTTTTAGTAACAGGCAGCCCGTTCGTAAGTACGAGTTCCAACTTACATACAAAAATCAAGTTAAAGACAGGCTTAGGAACGGAACCCGTTTTTAACCAAGGGACTGCCTGTATCTCATAAGTCCAGTTATAAGAATCTACAGCAGCAGTCTACACCAAGGTTATCATTGTCAAGTGCAGTGTAGGGACTCCAAATATTTTCATATGCAGGCAGAACATATGTATGGAGATATATCAAGTGAGGGGGCATGTTCCCTTCTAGCTAGAGCTTCTGATTCCTGATAGCATATTCCTCCAGAGCATGCCCCAGTGCAATCAGGGCTTTGTGGTAGGGCGGTGATAGGGATGAGAAATCAGCCACTAATTCCAATTGTTAGTTGTAGTGTATTACTTCTATAAATAGGAACGTGATAGATTAAAACAAAACAAAAGTTTCTCCTTCCCACAATGACTAGTTAAAAGTTTTGCTTAAGCCCTGTCAATTATACTTTCATTATTACAATGCAGGTGGTCCTTGATTTATGACCATTTGTTCAGCAACCATTCAAAGTTGCAGACATGATGAAAAAAATGAACTTACAACCTGTGCCTGCAGTTATGACCGCTGCAGCACCCCTGCAGTCACGTGATCAAAATTTGAGTGCTTGGCAGCCTGCCTGCACTTACGATTGCAGGGGTGCTTCAACATCCCCACCTGCCTACCTTACCCCCATCTATGCCCTTTTGGCCCTCTGCCACCCTGTGCTCCAGCTGACCTTTGCCATCTTTTTGCTCCTCTGCTGAGGAGGCATGCCCGGCCTGG